CAGCGGGGGGGGGGGGGGAGGCCGCTGTTGCCTGCAGTCCTTTGCACGTACATAGGGGCGCCGTTGGTTTGCTGGGGTTAAAGAAAATGCCAGGGGTCATAATAGGCTGGATGATGAAGGCCAGTATTATTATATCCATTTAGTAAAGCTGCCCCCCCCCCCCCCCCGCTGAGCTCTTAATTACGCCCGACTGAGATGTTGACTGAAGGCGCCGCGCCACGCAGCCGGCGTTAATCACGCGTTAGCCCCGGAATCGCCGTAATTTTGATGTACGACTGCTGTCATGCAGACGTAGACGCGGCTTCCGTTAATAAATATCCGGCCGTAGTAACACTTCATGCGATCACGCGGTCGATTTTTCTGCACAGTTTACAGCCTGATGACTCATGTCTTTGGCTGCGAATTTCCCAGCGGCCTCCGCTATATCACAGCAAGCCGGTGGCTAAGTAAACACGGCTAAGCCACCTCTACAGCACACATTCCCGGGTGGGGATGTGACCGTGAGCTGATACAGGACAAGTGTGCACCTGTGTACTTTAAATACACAAGAAGGGGTCTCTGCCTGGAAAAGCTGGTCATGTTTGCGGGCTCCTTGGGTACCTGGTTTCGTTTTTCAGGTGGCAAAGTGGGATCACCGTCCTGCAAAGCATGTTGGGATACATGGTCATCTCACCCCCTGCAACTCACAGAACAAGTCACCAGCTCTACCCCCCTGCTTCATACAGAATCATTAAGGATTGTCTTATTGCCAGCATTCGGCATTTCAGGCCCATTAGCTACAAATCCAGACCAAGGTTTTGTTTTTACCAACCAGTTGAGCTTAAAAAGTCACAGTCACAGAGAGCTCAACAAGTTGGAAGAAACAAAACCTTGGTCTGGATTTGTAGTTTTTGGACCTGAAATGTCCAAACACTGCTTATTTCGCAGAAAAGTGTATTAGCTAAAATGAGAAAAAAAAAAAGATGACATAATGATAACAACGAGGCCCTTCAAGGAGGTTTAGCTACATTTAACATTTAATGATAATGACAATGACAACCAGGGGTGTCACTAGAGCTGTTTTAGGGGGGGCTTTAGCCCCCAAATACATATGCACTAATTAGTTTAAATAGCATGTTCTCATTCATTTTCATTAAAATCAGACACCCCTAGCAAAGGCTTAGCCCCCCCTCCCCTTTCATAAATCTCTAGTGACGCTCCCAGTGATGACAGAGTCAGCGTGATAAGTGAGCGGTCGGCAGCCGGGGCTCACAATGAGCTCCCTGTACTTCTTCTTCAGGCTCTGGTGACGCTCCCTCAGCTGACTGGCCATCAGCTTGTACTGGTCCCGCTCCTGCTGACAGGAGTCCAGCTCCTTGGACAGGATCAGCAGGCCCTCCTTCTTGCTGTCCAGTTTGCGCTTGCAAACCAGGAACTGCGGGGGAGCAAAGGTAATAGCTAAAAGCCAGAAGACCCAAACAGAAAACAAGAGATGGGATGAGCAAAAAAAAAAAACAAAACACAACATTGTGAGATACTCAAAAGAAGAATTGACTAAATGATGTATCAGTGATGTGGGAGACTCCTTTGAGCGGGTAATCTCTGTGCAGTATGACTAGCAGCAGGAGGGGAGTTTATCATACATTATTTAGGGAAGTCTAACTGATAAGCACCTGCTGGCCATCCACATGTACTGTAGGTATGTCACCATCACCAGTTCTGCGCCAGAGCGGCTTTGGCAGGCAGCCTCGTTTTCAATTTGGTCGCCATTCCACAGAGCACCAGGGTATCCCAATAGTTTTTGCCTTTTTGTTGTGTTATTTTTGTGTCCATTAGGGAAACCCGTTCTGATAACGTAAAACACACCTTCATCTGGGGATTTCCATTCAAAACACGGTCATCTGACTTTCTGATAACTTTCGAAATTTCCTCCCGATCTTACCGAAAATGTCACTCATTAAAACCTTCGTTGGGACAATAAAGGTAAGCAGAATTATTCTTCAAACTATGATAATTATATTTCTTCGTTAGTTTATTGTATTTAGGCGTATTTTGAGCTAAATTTATCGATCTTTCACTTTTTTGGATCTGCCGCGAGAGCCGGCCATGTTGTTTTGTGGTGAACAGTGCAGCAAGAGCCGAAAATAGCATGATTTTCAGATTGGAATTTACAGCTTTAAAATGATGTGAAGGCTTTTAAATGAGGTTATATATACATAGTTTATTAAAATCTGATAAACAATAACAGAGTTATGCTCATTTTTCTGAACACCATAAACAGGTCACAAAGTCAAGTATATATGGTTCTCTATTGTTTTATCTGTTAATAAGTGGACGTTAATAAGCCTTTATTGGCGTTACAAAATATCCTATAACTTTCTTGCCATTCATCACAGAAAGAAGTTCTTGGTATCATTGGAAAGGTCTTATCAAGCCCTTTCTTCTGGTGCTATTTTTGTAAAAATCCAACAACTTTGAATTTTTTTGTGACATACCTACCACATGGTGAATTTTATTATATAAAGTTGCAGATATGCCCTCTACTAGCGCATTTAGCCATTTCTCCTACCCGGACTCCATATTTCCACTGCCTTACTGGACCTTGCGCAAAAGAATTACAGTACACTAACTAACACTACACTAACGTAAGCATTAGCTCACGACCATAAACACGCCCTCAGGTGACAGAGACAAAAAAAAAGGAGTGCCTTGGGCAAGTAATTGGTGACTACCTTGATATTTAATAAAGGTATGTGGTTTTACAGCGAAGCTCTGCGAAACCAAAGGAGGCGGTAACTCTACATTACAGTCTTTAGCGAGCCGTGACATTAAAACCCGCAAACCTGCGGAGCGATTTACGGTTAAGTACCCCCACCTGTAAATTTGAAGAAGTGGCGGAGAACGTGGGAGACATACCAGCCAGTGTCATCACACCTATTTTCAGACAAACAAACAGGGTTACAGTTCTCTCAGCGCACCTGCCGTTCAGATCCATCCATCAGGATGGATTAGAAGCCGGAGGAGGTAAAGCAAACATACGGAAACCTCACTGTGGACAGGCTGCTCTCCGCACCCCAGGGTTCATGCAAGAAGCAAGACCTCCGACAGTATCACTGCGGTTTATTCTTAACCGCCTTTTCACCCCTGCTGTTTAATACGAGAACCCGCTCGTTACTCACTCCATTCTGAACATGACGAATGGGACAAGATAGCGCCTGTCTCAAAGAACAAATCTTACTCCTTATTACGAAGTCTCAACCCATAGCGACTGTGACCCAATACCAGCTGAGAGAACGAGAGGGTAATGACTGTACAGCAGAAGCGGTCCTTTAAGGTAAAATTGTCTGCATGCAGTTGGTTATTGGTTGGCGTTAAAGCTTGAAAATATAGTTCATATCATGGGTTAAAAACCACTATTTTTGCTGTTGTGCCACAGAGAAAGAAAAACAACTTACAACGTCCAAACAACTTACAATGTTACAAACACGGTGGGTAGCACCTATAGTTTTTACACAGAAATTAATCTTTATCCATCGGCAGTGCAAACAACCGCATTGACTGAGATGTCCATTGTAAGCTGTGATGATGCTCTAAAACACGCTCAGGATTTCTGGTTTGGGGTACATAAAAAAAACTTAGTTCAACGAGGCTGAATGACACACACTGCTATCCCGTGCCAGCGTATATAGCCTCTTCGCAAACTGGTACCAAGAAAATCATTTTAGCAGTTAAAGAAATTCTCACATCTGTTAATTCCAGAGTTAGAGTCTTTGCATGTCAATTTTCTGATGAATTTGTCCCCACAAATACAGGAAAAGTACACACACACACACACACACACACACACACACACACACGTAGGGTAAACATATCCTTATGGGGACCGCTCATTCATTTCAATGGGAAAAATGCTAACGCTAACTATGACAACCTTAACCCCTACCCTGCCCTAACCATAACCATAAGTAACCTAACAAAATACAAGAGTTTTTGCATTTTTAGTTTTTTCATAGCAGTCACCGATTTTTATAAAATAGAGATTTCCCTTATGGCGACCAGGAAACCGGTCCCCATAAGGGAAAAAAACGGATATTTATCATGTTATGGGGACATTATGTCCCCATAAGGATAGGTAAACCCGCTCACACGCACGTACACACATGCACACACACATTGTGCTGCCAGCAGGGGCTACTTAAAGAAAGGAGATAAGACTGGACATATTGTCCTCTACCAGCCCATTGACAGGAGTAACATGCTAAACTGCACAAAGGAAAATACAACTGAATATTATGAACCGAAAATCCAAAGCCACACACTCTGAACTTCCTAGATTAATTTGCCCTCAGTGTCTGTTAGTTAAAGTTGTGGTCTTAGGGTGACCACCTACTCCATGTCAGGGAGAACACTTTGAGCTACTTCAGGTTTTATAAACTACTTTCAAACTGAAAGGCTCCTGTGTTTGGCTAAATAGGCTTGTGCTTTGACTGGTTTGTTTCCTTGACTGAAAGACTCATCCAGATGTTTCACATTATCATTAGTGACACGTGCATGATTATAGGGGAATGACCAATCAGCTCACAGCAAGAACTCAGTGCTAAAGTAAAATCCAGGTCCTTTTAATTGAAATGGTAAATTACAAACCCTGTCCTAGCTCATAGTGTCCTCCCTGACACAGATTAGGTGGTCACCCTATGTAGCCTTATATTTTCAAACCATTAAATTCTAAGTTTTGCTCATATTTAAAAAATCCAGCAGCCCAGCTAACATCTGTCGTTAAACATTTACAATTCATTAATTTAAAAACCTACGCTTGTCATTTGGAAGCAAAGTTACTTTTTAAAACATTTAAAGCGATGTTTTTATTGCATTTAATTGACATTTAAACCCGAAAAACCCTTCAGCGCGTTGTGGTGTGTGTCCGTGTCCCCTAACAGCTGGCAGAGTATATTTATGTTTGCTGCCGTCGATGCGCCTGGACAGCAGTGTCGCCTCCAGACCGACACTGTGACACCCACCTCACTCACCAAACCCTGCCAGTCACTCTCGCTCCTCTTAGCGGGGTCCATCTTCTCGGAGCGTCTCGGTGTTCGGGGACATGAGTGGCCCTAAGCACGGAGCAGGAAGCACTGACTGCCCGATCTCCAGTAAAATACGTAGTCCCCTCCACCCTCCCCCTTTCCCCTTAAGCTACTGAACTAGGGCGGGGTAAGGATGTGGGGGGACGGGAACCGGATTTAAAGGCTGGCTTTACAGGCAGCTGCGCATGCAACCGTTTATGCAGGAAATAGTCTCATCTCTTCGCTAAACTGAACCATTTTGGGAAATTGCAGAATTTTTTTCTGACGAAAGGCATTTATCGCCTATGTTAATACATAGTTCGGCGGCTAGGTACTGCGTCGATGTGTGTTTAATTGGGTGGGGAGGTGGGAAGTCCTGCTGCCCATTCCTGCCAATCTCTGGGGATTGTTGGAGCACGGCGTCTCCACCGGGTCCGTGGATGAGAAGAGATTCACAGCTGACACGGGGAGAAGTTGCAAATCACCGGTTTATTCTCTTGACTGATTATAATCAGGGAGCGGCCATCTGACATACATTCAGCATGTACAGGAGGAGGCTCTGCCATATGTATCAGCTGTATCCCTTTTAAAGCCCTTTGGGCACCTCCCTTTCTCAGTACCTTCCGTCTACGCGACAACCACATGTGTGACTCCAGCCGGCTCGTAGTTGTCCTTCTGGAAGGCTAAAAGATAAGTAGGGGCCGCTGATATTCTCTGTCGCCCCCCGTATCTGTTCCGATTAGGTAGCCTTGCCTTGTCGGCGCGCCAGTCAGTTCTCGTTTTGATTAGTTACAGCCTTATAGAATCATTCCCTTTATTTTATTAATTATTCCCTCAGGATGTCCGCTTGTGGCAGGATTCAGGTGCCCTATGAGGGGCGGTAATGAGACGCTGAGTGTCTGGGCATTTGATTGACACCGGAACCAAAGATGTAGACCAATCATAGCCCGAAAAATGCGCACAAGGGGCGGGATCGGAACTACCTGCGCCTCCCACTTTGAGCGCAGGGCGAGCATGGAGAGCGAAGAGGTAGTATGTATCTTAGCAGAACACCAGTTTTTACTGTTGTAATTGCATAAATGATTAAAAAATGTGGACAAGTAAATGTACCAAAGAAACAAAACACCCTGAAGTTTACAGTCATACAGAATCAGAAAGCGAGTGTTGTTATGGCGCGCTCGTGGAAGAAATGTATCCGTTTTTTATTTGCTTATCGAATTTGACAGAATATTTATAAGACAATATACATATACAACCAAAGGTATTACATGATCAAAAATCAATAGCACATACAACAAGATAATAACACTCGTATTTACAAAAGAGTGTTTTTTCAATAATATGGAATATGGAATCAAAAAATGGAATGTTTTTCCCCAATATATCATTGTAAATATACCTGTCATTTAAAATAATGTGATAATAGGAACTGTAAGCACTTGTGTAAATTAAAAATGTAAAACAATGCATTTTTAAATTTTGAAAGGTTTTGTCGTCGTCCCCCCCTCTCTCACAGTGGTTTGGTCCCCGATCCCACTACCACACGCGTAGCCCAGTACGAGTGGCCGTAGGGTCAGCGGTGGCTGGCCACTGGTAAGGGGCTGCTTTACTAATGTTCACTTAAAACACTAACTGTGTCAAGCATGTGCCTTTACTTGTACCACTCAGTAGAATACCAGACATTTACATTTGCAACCCGACGACATCTTGTCCGCTACCTTACCTCGTGGGTGAATAGATCGATAGATAGGTATGGATGGATGGATACTTCATTAATCCCGAAGGAATTTTAGGCATCCAGTAACTCGAAAAATACAGCTTTACTAGCTTTGCATTAGTTAATGGGTGTTGATACTCTCCAACCGTAAACAATTACCTACATGCCGTGTGTGTGTGTTTCTGTGAGTGGGTGTGTGTGTGTGTTTTGTCAGCCAGCCAAAATGGCAAAAAGGAAAACGCACATATGATCGTTTTTCAGCGCAACAAAACGCCAAGTAAGTAACATATCAAGGGCAATTTGATAACATAAAAAAATCTTTATACATGATTGAAGTGCTTCTGGAAATGTTATCATAATGATGTCCTTAGCAAAGCAGACAGAGGTAATAGAGTTGCCTTATATTTGGTGGTATAATTATATGTATCTTGTTTTGAGAAATATTACAATAAATATTTTTGAAGATTTTTTTGTTTGTTTGAATTAGCTGGATTATTCATTGAAGTGTTTTTTTTGTTTGTTTTTAGAACTATACTTATTTTGCGCTTTATATTCATTATAAAGCTACTGAGATTAGTCCAGTGACACATATGTAAAGACTTTATAATGCATTTAAAACATTTGAACATGCTAACCTAATTTACCAGTTAATTATCTAGTATGTACAGTATAATGGTAAGGGTTTTCTCCATATGTATTTAATACAAGTACTTTTGGCGGCGTCTTTTATGTCCCACTCAGGATTTGCCCTTGAGAATTTTTTTCTGTTCATTGTCCCGCCCAACAGTGAAATTCAGATTTCACCCATGTGTATATATGTTTTATCAGTATGGGAGATTTTTGATAATGATGTGTCATTTACATCTTTTACATTGATACTAACATAGTTTTGGTAGTTATAATGTGCAGTAGTGATAAGATCCATCAAATAATTTTTGACTTATTACATTCACAAAGTCAAATGTCTTCTGCAATCACCGTTCCTTTTCCTGTCACTAAGTGACATGGCTTCAATTTTGGGGTTATCTGTCTCAAGATTCAATCATTTCCAGATCTTACAACTGTGTCTGCAAAGTCTGAAAAAGGTAAACTCCATATGATGACAAAAAGAAAAGCTTAAATTCCATGAAAACAAGCAACGCTACGAAGATCGCATTGTAGGAACACGTTATCACCTGACCACACTTTATACTTCATGATTGTTGTTTATGTAATACAGCGAATTTAAGCTGTTGCAATACTAGTTTCTCAACACAAGATGGCAGAATTTAACTCAGAAATTCTATGCAAAGCGATTTTTGTGTAATATACAGTTGACGTCAGTGTTCATTTTCTTAGAAATAAAACCAGTGCCAATCGAAGCACATGCAGCACTAATCTAGGTAAGCTTCACTGCCGATCGCCCCCCCGCACACGTCAGAGTCCAAATTCACTTTGCCACTGATGGTGCGGGGTCTGAACAATTACCCATCTTGCCAGGATCCACCCATGCTTTAAAATAGGAAGTTTAGTGTATGCAACTTAATTTTCACATTTATAGGAAATTAGAAGGGCAGACAAATTATATATCTGAGCAAAATTTAATGGAAAGGAGTCGACACTAATGTTTGTGGAAAATCAGGTTTCATAGATAACTTGGCAAGGGAGAGAAGTATATATAATTCACAGACACATACCCATAAATTGAGAATGAGTGAAACAAAACATTGTGCCATGGCTGTAAATGTAACATTCATTCATTCATTCATTCATATGATCATTTTCATACAATGATCAAAATCAATGCAGAACAACACAGAGCCTTTGATGGTTTTTTAAAGCTCGTCGAAATTCCTCAATTCTAAACTAATGAAGGACAGCAGATTTCGGCTTCAGATTTTTTTACATATTGTAAAGACATATTGCAAGTCATTGCAAGACATTCCAATTTATTACAGCTTTTGAAGTTCTTCACAATTTCTCAATATATTTTCGTTTTCAGTACAATTCTAGTGATATATATATCACTAGATATATATATCACTAGAATTATATATATATATATATATATATATATATATCACTGATTTTCCAGTGATATACATATCACTAGAATTAGACAATACGATCAGCTATATTTAATAATTGCAAATACTTATCTGGGGAATCAGGGGATATATATATATATATATATATATATATATATGCGCAAACTGCAGCCTGGCTCTTCTCTGATTCCTCAGATCAGTATTTGCTGTCTCTCATTAATGAAGGGCTTCTTCCTTGCTTTATGGGACTTCAGTCCTGCTTCTAGGAGCCTCATACAAACTGTCCTAGCAGTGCACTGGACACCTGCACTTAATGTTTCCCATTGCTTTTGAAGGTCACTTGATGTCATCCTCCGATTCCTGAGGCACTACTGGATAAGTCATCTATGGCATTAGAATGTCACTTCCACCCTTTACCTGACTGGTTTCTGGTCGTTCCCAGTGTCTCCCGCTTCACCTTGTTCTTCTGTACTGCTGTCTTAGAAACTTTGAACCTGGAAGCATCCTGCTGTTCAATGTAGCATTCTGCTAGCAGAACCAGGATTAAACCAGGATTTAAAAATGCAGATTTGTTTAAAAATATAGAGCGGTCACATTTTTTCCCGTACCTGTATGTAACGCTTTTCAAGACACCCAAAGTGCTTTACAGAACCAACGAGGAGCCACTTCCACCACCAGCACTGTGTAGCCCCCACCTGGATGATGCGACAGCAGCCATTCTGCTCACCACACAGTAGCTAAGGTGGTGAAGGGGCAGGAGAGGATTCACCAATCAGATATAGGGGATGAGTAGGAGGCCAGATTTGAAAGGGCCACAGTGGGCAATTTTAGCCAGGACATCGGGGTACCACCCCCTACTCTTTCAAAAGACATCCAGGGATCTTTTATGGACAAGTTATATAGACTCAGTGTGTTGGAGAGTTAATCACAAAGACTGTTATCAGACATTGGTCTCATTGCAGAGTTAATTTCAAAGAAAATCTAAAAACTGAACAAATTCTGGCAGCAGCCAAACCTCAATATGGAGGAACAGCAGGAGGACACGCGACAAGCCAGGGCAGAGATGGCTGATCATTTGAAAAATGTACATTTTAGACAAGGGATGAGAATGACTGCAATTCCCGATTAAGCTTCCAGGAAATTTTCCTAGTAGTAGATAAATGCATTTTCTCATCAAGCAGAAATAAGAATGAATAGTTTTCAAATATTAAAAAGATACCAAAGATAATAACGGAAACTTGGCATTTCAGACCACTTATAAAATAGAGGAGCACTTATCCTCAAACTTCACTGATGTAATAATTTTCTTTCCATTTTCCACCCCCTTATTCTGGTCAGAGATATTAGGGAGGCTGGCATTTATCCCAGAGGGCTGTGGTACATACCAGACATGACAGGCCATCCCAGAGCACACCGATGCCGTTTATCCTAACTTTGTGTCTTTGGGCTGCAGAAGGGTGCCAGTGTGACACAGAGACGCAGAGATGTGATTCAAGTCTCCAGTTCTGGACGTGTAGAGCCACGGAGATATCCATTATGCTAATGGGCGGCCCATCTTCCGTGGTGTAGATAAATTCTTGATTATGAATGATAATCTTAATTATGAAAGGTAATTTGTAATAATAGCGACTGGGTCCGAACTCTGATGGTTTGTGGTGTTTCATTAGAGCCCCACCATGAATCTCCTTGAACGTCACAAGCATTATTTTAATTGCTTTGCAGTGTCTACAATTCGATGGTATCTATTGACCAAGTTGGTACAGTACAGTATTTGAAGTTTTTTTCTGTTGAAAAGTAATTGTAAAAAAGCATTGATTCTCCAGATAAGTGCCCCAACAAATAGTGGAAATTGTATCCATTTTTACTATTGTTTTACAAGATGTTAACAAATTGCACTGGGAGGACCTTTGAGCTGGGATGCATACTTACAGAAGGCATCTGGTCCCTAAAACAACTACACAGGACATTAAAATAAATTATTAGTAATAGAATTATACCATTCTGTGGTACTGTCATACTGTGGGACAGCCAGCAGTTAGAGGAGGATGAGGGGTGGGCCATACCACAGTCACTGAGAGCACGATCGCAGCACCACGGACAGTACCAAATTGTGGGAAGAGGTCCGTCTCACAGTGTTACGTGCAGAATAAACGAAAATCACAATCTGCAGTCATAATGGGATAAGGGCCTCAAGTCCAGTCTGGGTGGTAGTATTGTGTATCATCAGTCACTGCATTCATTCACCCAATGGGGACCAGTAAAGTAACCAATGGAAACAGACAATTGGAGTATTCACACCGTATTGAATCGGCTATTAAAGAACTTTCTCAGTCTAATGTTGGTCACGTTGTATTGATTCAAATGACATATGACTGTACTCATTAAATGTCTGATTAACTGAAGCTAACACTAAAATCAATTATTTCTTCATTTAATTAAATACAATGGGAGGCTATGAAAAACTCAGTATATATGCTTTAATAATAAAGTGTATATTTTATATGTAAACCTGTTTTCCAGTCAGTTTAGTATTAGACAACCAAAATAGCTCCATTGATATTTTATTAAGTAAGGAACATGTACATACATGTACATCATGGGCCAGGAATGAGAAGTGCCCTTTTCAGACATCTTGCTTAACATTTCTTTAAAATAATCTTTACTCAAGAATTTAGAAAGAACACAAGCACAGTGTAAGGGGTAGATAGCAGAGGTCATCCATTAAACAGAAGCATCTTTATTTGGACTAAAGAATATTCATAATTTCAAGGATAATATTCAGTAAGCATAAATCATATTTCTATCATGATATAAAACAATGTACACCTCATACAACTTGCATATTTGATTAATTGGTACCACAAGTTATATTACCAGGGAACTGTAATGTGAGCAAGAACAGTAGCAGACTCCGTACAGATTATTCCAGGATTTAAAGTAAAAGTTACAAACTTGTAATGTTTTGTACATTCAGTCTTAAGTGACATGCTCTTAGAAGCTGCATTGCATTTTGGGTCATTTGCAAATCTCTGAAGAAGCATGCCAAGTGGCAAGACACTAATGTAATGTTGGGAGAAAGGATGTCAAATGATCACTGCTTTTTTGAAATATCCCATGGTGCCCAAGTACTGTATAAATTAAATTACTAAATTACATCTTATAGTATTGTAAGATAAAATAGGCATTTATAATCTGGAGAAACACATTCCCTTTTCCAGGACAGTTTTCAAACTCTTGCTGGAGAAGACATGGGCCTGAACATTTTATCAAACATTAGTAAAGCTCTGAATCTTTGTCACTAGGTCTGAAGACTCACATTCCAGGATGGGTTCTTCTGTTGGACTATTGACTTGATGTTTTTTTAAGGTACCATATTTGACTGTATAAATATTACAGTAAAAGAATAACCTAACTAAGTCTTCTAAACAACCGTGTAAGCCTGGTCCATTCAACTCCTGAGTGCCATAGTGTATGCAGGCTGTAATTACACTTCAGAAAACAAATCGTTCTTTTGGTCTACATGTGAAATGCCACTTCAGATCATTTCTGTCAAAACATTCTGCTGCTTTTATGAAAGGTACACCTTTGACTTACAAGCAAACATAAAAGTGCATTTTGTAGCAATGAACTAACAAGCGACAATCGTAATTTACAAGGTCATCAGTTGGAACAAAACTCCTCAATGACTGAATTACCCCAGTCTATGTAACAACTTGTTAGATAGACCCCAGCGGGAAGTAGGATCATGTTCATATTAGAGGGACAGTATATCTATGAGGGATCTCATGTCTATATATCATACTCTTTATAACTACTTACACCCATTAAATACTTTCAAGCTGAATTAATTGCTTCCAGATATGATGCCAGCTGTCTCCTCATTGTCACCTTCCTGGCACTCTTGATAGATAGACAGTGTATTCAGTAACTCTTATTTAAGGGGACACATATAATGTAGTAGTAAACCATTACTTAATGTATTAATTAACTAGTAACTAGGTGTTAGTTACATACTGATCCCATGTTCATTCATCATTAATCAAACATGATGGTCCATATATTTCATACAGGAATTATATCTGTTCATGATTTGTTCTTGAGTAGTAACTGAGTAACTAAGTTATCTGCGCCCCCATAAGTAAAGTGTCCCCCAATATTCTATCCCCCAGATCACATTGATCTGGAATGAACACAATAGGTTTAGCACAGGCAGCCTTAGACCCAACTTATAAGACGATTTACTAAGCTTTCTCTCCCGTAGACAGCACGGCCTACAACAGAGACACAATAGAAATAAAAAGCAGTTTAAGAAAAGACCCCCTGAACCTTTTGTGTAAAACCGTACATCAAACGGTGGGCTTTGTTGGTGATAGTTTGTGCTCAGTGGGGCCCCACCCTTCTTACAGTGACACTCCAGGAGGGAGAATTCCTAATCACAACAAAAAAGATGAAGATGGTAACAAGCAGAACACGCATCCCTTTCACGAATAAGGCATCTACTGTAACCATGGAAACTGTGGCAGTTTAAGCCTCACGACGAAAACACTACTTTCCTCAAGTGACCGGTTAGGACAACGAACAAAGGCTGTGTGTGACAATCCGCTTCCGTTAACATGAAGTTTCAGTTGTTGTGAGTATCAAATAGTTAAAATGTAGCAAATGAGACACTAATTTCATTAAAACCTCTATACAAATGCAGGAAACATAGATAGTAAATGAATACCTGATAAATGCCACGTCCCGCTTTCATTCCCTCAGTATTATGATGGAATATGATGGAATCTTCTGTCCTCAGCAAGGCTCACAAACTCAAATCAATGATGATGTGCTCAAAGATCTGGGTGTTACCTTTGAAGCTGGAAGAAAAGAGGAAATCCCGACGGTCTGTGGACACCACCGTGAAGGAGCGTGGTGCCTGGATGTATACCTCCTTGAACCTCTCAAACATCTTCTTCTCCATATCCCACAGGTATATCTGTGAGAAGGTATAATCGCTACCCAAGGCCAGGTAATGCCTGTCCTTGAAGGAGAAGGGCTGCATGATCATGGATCCGCGTGAGGGCAGGGCCTGCACCTCTGTGAACTGCTTATTGGTCCATCGGAGGACTTTTGAGTCACCTATGTAGCGTGTCATGGCCAAGTAGAGCTCCTCCTTGATCCGAAAAGACTTGATGCCCACCACATCCTCCATGTTAGGAATCTCACCATGTAGAGCAAACTTCTGAGCACTCCTGCTCCACTGGTAGATGACAGGGACTTGGGAACGGCTGGCCAAGATTAGGTGGGCTTTCCCATCCAGGTCAATAAATTCTGCATCTGTGTCCCGGAACCACTCATGAAGGGACTGACTGGAGTAGAAGCCTTTGTCATTCCACTTGTAGAGAGTGGAGAGGCCGGCCTTGGAACTGTCTGCGATCACAAAGAACCAGTCATTGCCAATCTGAAATGTCTCAATGTCATTGGGCTTGGAGATCCTGGACACCTCAATGTCTTGAAACTTGGTGAACTTGCTCTGGTCTTCATCAAACTTGTAGATGTGGGAGCCACCAAAAAGCTGGGCCACAATGACGAAGACCTGATTGTTAATGATGATGGACTTGCATCCAACGATTGATTGACCTAAGTGACAAAGGAGAATTGTCTCATTTATAACAGGAAAGTTAGAACTTTGATCTGTAGATTTCAAGGGCTTAATGCATAAAAGAAAACAGCTCTTGAATATTGAAAATGAGGTTAACTATAAAGAAAAGAATAAAGAAAATGGCAAGTCAGAAAAACCAAGCAACTGATTAAAACTTTCTTTCCTGGTTGTACTGTGAGTACTGTGAGAGTCAGTCTGGCTACATCTCACTTCACTGAACTTTTTGCACTCCTGCGGTTCTGGAACTCATCACTCACTGAATAAATTAGGACCATCGTTTGTGGTCATCTTTTTTGTAAGGTATTATGTGGCCACACCTCACTGAGCATTTATTTCCTCATTATCGTGTTTTCATGTATGACTTTTGCCTGAGCTGTTGGTTTTACCCTGAGTGTCTTGGGTTTTGTACAGTGTTGCCCAAGTCTGCTATTCGAAGCACTGCCTGTGTTTTCAACTACGGATTTTGAGCTATAGTTTGTTTTTTTTTCTTTGTTGCCCTGTTGTGTGTATTGCCAGTGTTTCCGATTATGGTGTTGGATCATAACTCAAAAATAAACCTGGGGATTCCACAATTGGATCGTCCCTGATCGATACAATGATATTGATAAATGGTGGCTGCTGATGACTTATGAGAAAGTATGATCATATAATAGGCAGTAAAAAAGCACTATTGTTCACGATTTGACAGATAAGGCATGTTGCATATTTTTCTAATTTTAGACCAATGAGGTCAGAGCTTCTGACGGTATCGATGTTAAATAGGACTGATAGTAAGCTGCCCATGTACACTACAGCAGAGTACTATAGCTGAATATCATTGTTAAATATAGAAACGCGCTTTCATGTGGATGCTAGAGCTGTGAAGTCTGCACGTCAGCTTCCTGATTTTGCTGAGTTTGACTTGTCCCTGGGACAACAAGGGAAGGGCTTGCTGTTCGCTTTATCAGCCAATCACAGTCTTCATCGTATGACATCACCACACTAGTTAAAACCAGTGTTTTCTGTTAAGCGGCAAGGTGCACAGATTTCTGAATCCCTATTTTATTGTGTACGCCTTCTGTTAAGGGACATGTCATAGATAAACATAGGAATATACTTACTTGCAAAGGCTGTATGGAGCGATGCAAGGGTGTGTGTGTGTCTTTATTTCATGATGGTGATGATGATATTGATATTAATATTATTATTAATAATAATAATAATAATAATAATAACTTGATAAAAACCAATAATAACCAATAACCCTAGTCTTTTGGCTGGATGACTGGAAGCATTGAGTTTGAAAATGAGAAAAAAAACGGACATCATACGATGAAAACTGTTATTGGTTAAAGAAGCGAACCGCAAGCCCCAGGGACACATTGAACTCGGCAAAATCAGGACATCCATTACAAGTCCAGAAAAAAAATCCAAAAAAATTAAAATTACATTAAATTTTTTAAAAGTCCAGACTAAACACTACCTCATATGTACTATGATTTAATGGCCTTTTGAGATTGTGGGAGTGGGGGGGGGGGGTCTTTACTTTCTTGGGTAAGATTAAGGGGATGAACGTGGGGAGACAGTAGCCTATGAATGTCCCGATCGATGTGCATGTGCCAAGCTGTACGTTTAGGGGAGCGGGTATGGAAGCCAGAAGGACATCAAGCCCACCGGTGATGTTGTCATAGCTCCTGAAGTTCATCTCGATATGGTCCCATTCCATGACCATGCAGCTTTCCGCATTGGGGGCGGCGATGGCCACGTAGACCCCGTTCTTGTATAAGAAGGAATCCACTGACAGGGACTCCGACGCCACGGACTGATGGAGGACAAAATCTGCAGGGAGGGAGAACAGTCACATTTCAGGCGTTTGGGTCCTCAGCGGACATCCTCAGAAAGTGTGAAAGGCTTCTGCTGTAATAGTGAAAATACTAAATAACCACAGCGTTAAATGGCGTGTAATGTAGGGACAATTGTTGAACGTGGTCAATTGTTGAATGGACTGTTAACACACTTAAAAAAATGAGAAAATATCACCTTTGGGCATTAAATGTGACAGGTAGTTATCGTGCATGACCAAAATTCAAATCTTTGATCTGACGTTTTTTTTAAGTATGTTGAAAGTCTGTTCAACAGCTAACAAAAATTCAACAATTGACCCTGGTCTCCCCTATGGAAGGAAACAAATGGTGTCTTCCGTGACAGGCGGCCTTTTGAATGGCAAAGGTTCTTCCAACTAGGCCTCAGTGCTTGGGGTCCTGTGATTGACCCCCAGAACTTATCCTGCCCCAGCCGAGCCCCTGCAATCAGTTGGCTAATGAAGAGGAATGGGCCAGGCTTCTGGGAGCAGGTCACGCCAGACGGGAGTCACCTGTGGAGATGCAGTCGTCACGCAAGCTGACCAGGTCATTCAGCCGCCTGCCCTTCATCTCGTCAGGGCCCTCGCACAAGACCTCGGACACGGTGGAGTTGGTGCTCCTCAACCAGCTCATTAACCACTTGGCTCTGCAGTCACACTCGAAGGCATTACCACGCAGATCACTGGGAAGAGGCAACAGAGAGACTCATGGGGAAACTTTTACTGACAGATAAGGATATAAAACCTGGACGGTTCATTTTCAGTGTGACGAAAATTTCATTCATTATGAAAATCACATGTTCATGAACTTGAAAACATCCATGTGTTCAAAAGTCTCCTAAGTCTTTGTTTAACCAGATAATTAGATCCCTGAGACATAGAAAAAGTAGAACTATATGCTATAAGAAATATCTCAAAACACTGTGTGCTTACAGTTCAATTAGAGAGTCCAGATCTGCAAAGAGGTCCCTTGGCAAAAACTTGATGTTGTTATTCGCCAGTGACCTGCAAGACAAACCAATGGGCTTAATCCCAGTGTCGTCACTTGTACAACGGTGTTTGCCAATCCGGTCATCAGGGACCTGCAGAAGGTCCACATTTTTGCTCCCTCCCAGTTCCCCAAGGACCGGGATGGGAAACACTGCTGTAGAACACGGTGAGGAGTTGGGTAACGACAAGAAAGGTCATGACTTACAGGTGGGTCAAATCCCGAAGGCCTCTTAAAGCATACCTAGACGTTGTCTCAATCTTATTATTCTCTATGAACCTAAACAAAAAACAGACATGGTGAACAGGCTGAAACAGGAGCAGTGTGAAGCAGGCTTATGATCAGAACTGCTGCCATGTACTTAATTCTTTACAAAATATGGATGTTGCCATACATAAAAGCATCCTTTTTATAAGAAACATTGTAAATGAGATGAGACCAATAAGCTTATCCTGCTTTATTGGTTATCTGGATATTCTCCAGGTAATGCTGAACTGAAAGAATCATTGTTCTTCTCATTGTTCAGCCTGTACATACTTTGTAAAAATGTAGTCGTCCTGCCAGCAGGGGGCACTACAACCCCCCAAACCTTGGCGAACTCAACTGGGCATCTATCTCTTGGGTAACTTAACAACCCACTTTGCTAGCCCAGTGTGTTGCTGCTAAATTTATGATCATTACAAACTCACAGATATTCCAGATGCGGAAGTCCTGAGAATGCATCGTCCTTTATGGTGGTGAATGAATTGGAATTAAGAAGCCTAAAGAAAGAAAAGCTATTTAAAATTACAATTATAATAATCAGAATAAAATATGCCTCATATAAGAAATATTATATTACTGTACTTGAATATTTTTATACATAACTGTACATACATTTGATTAATCTGTAAGTTGCACTAAAATCACCAATATCAGAAAACATCTTTATATAAACTCCTGTTAGGATCTGAGTATCTGTACATTTTGAAAACAATGACACCAGTCTGAGTACCAGGTCAAAGGTCAATGACTAAAAATTGCTAAAAGGTGTACAGACCTTTTGCCTGATTATACATATATTTTGCTTTCTTACAGAAGGCCCTTTAGTGTCACATACAAGGTGTGACATAGTGTGGAAATGTCACTGAGGTCTTTCTGGGGATGTCCGTTTGGTCTATGTAGTCTACTTCTGTCTCTGTGGTGTGTAAATGGCAGGAAGGCCATAAAAGTTGCCCGAGGCAATGTGCTTGGTACAAAATCAGAGAAAGCTTTGGCCCAGAAGCCGCCTTCCATGGAATGTATCAGGGACCCATTCTCCTCACACTCCCAGGGCGAGCAATTTGGAGGCCATTTGGGTCTATTGCCAGCAGAGACTCTTGAGAGTCTCTCACTTAGATGATCTTCCAAAATTGTGCTGCGTAGCCACTGAATAACAGGAGGAACATCACACAACACATTCACCAGTCCCTCCTCATTCCCTTCCCCTGGCCCCAATATCATATCAGCTGTCAGTGGGCCTGCTTAGTCGTTGACCATCCACAGAAGGATTTGAATTACTGGAAGGACAGACTCTCATTAGATGCCTTAACAGCTCAGGGGCTTTGACAGCTAAACTGGACAGTGACTAAGAAAATAATTCAAACAAGACTGAGGAAACACCCTTCATCACGTTGTTTTTTCCACCGGGTTAGGTAGACTATTACAACTTGCTCTTTAAGGATTCATCTCTATAGCGATGATTTCCAATGCTGATGGATTTCTTTTTGAACTTAAACTAATTATAGGCTTATCTTTTCTTCTTGGTGCCATAAACTGTTTCTATTCCCGCAGCTAATGACCTCAAGCGTTAGATGAACTTTCGCTTAACAAGTCTTGCACCACATAGCGCTCGCACAGATCACCCAGAGAATAAACTACGTTTAAAACCAGTTCACATTCTGCACGGAAATATGATCGATAGCGTGTCTCTTGCGGCAGGTTCCAGACATTAGACGTGCACTCACAGCAGTTGTAAAGACGGCATGTGGGAGAACATAGCCTCCTTAATTTCAGAGAAGGTTCCATTAACGACGCTCCTGAAAAACAGACGTATATTAAACCACAATCACCCAGACGCTATCGTTCTCACGGCAAATTAAATAAACAAAGAGGGATTAAATATTCCACATGTTACTCCAGGTGAGACTTTTAACTGCTCTGTACAAAGAAATTCAGACGGTAGCTACATACTTATGGTATGCATTCCTGTCTTTTTAGTACACATAAAATCGCACAGAAAGGACATCCGTCAAAACTGGAACAATTTAAATATGTATTTTGCTACCGTTGTCGAATTCAGTTGGATGACACGTATTTAAAACGCACACACACAATGATATAGGAATTCCTGAATACTTACAGTGAATTGATATCATTTGGGATAATCCGTGGTATATACGAAGACCCGACGCAAATTATAGACTCCTTGGAGCAAGTACATGTGGAAGGACATCTAAATATCCTCCTGAAATCACCGGGCACAGCCAAAAAAGAAAGGATCGAGATTAATAAGGAGCATTGCTTAACAGTGGAAAGCATCTTGGCCGGCAGGATGGCATGTGTAACGCGGAGAAGGCGCTCTGACACCCCGCACCGCGAAATGCTGCAACAGAGCATCTGACATCAGCACTGGGGCGGCACACCCCCTGCGCCGGAATCATTCATTATTAAACAAGGCATACCGGCTCATGTTCTTTAACATACCTTTATTCCAACCCTTAAACAAACCGTGGACCCCTTCCTTGATAGCAAACACGCGAAGAAAATCCACCTTTCAATTTCCAATTTAATAGCCATTCTAAAGTATCATGCCAAAAATGAGCCGGAATAGATTTGGACGCGAAACGAATGACTGAAAATATTTAAAAATTAAAGGCTTTTATTTGTACATTTGTTTGTAAATATAAATATGTATAGCCTATATATCGCCGGGAAATCTTGTCTTCGTGCAATATCTGTTTAAACAACGCTGTAACAATGAAAACGGTATATATATATAGCCTACATATAATATTGGCGTTAAGAGACGCGGTCGCATTACACGTAACGAGCAAGTCGTGTCCAGCATTTCAGAGAGTAAAGTTACAATTCATCACTCACATACAATTCTACATTTTTGACATTTTTTCTTTCAGATTTTCCCTCAGATTACCCTCGGGAATGGTGACCTTTGCGTCTGGACGGAGGTTAAATCATAAACTGCGCTTCAAGTTAACAATCAGAGAAGAAAAATTCAGGGATTGCAATGATTCTAAGGGGCAGACGATCGGCGATTTCCTAACGATAAGTAGGGCTATACTATCTATATAATGATCGAAGGAGCTCCGGGGAACATGTCAGATTTCCACCTCCTCTGGATTCGTCTTTTACCGGCTAGGTCAGCAAAAACGCAAACCGCAGCAGGACATGCGGGCTTGGAGAAAGGTCATGGGAGGTAGCGATGGCAGGGGCTTTGCTACAAATGATAACTGTAACATACAGTGAGCTTTAGAGAGTATAACCACGAATACGGCAATAAACTTCTATTATACTAGTCTTCATCTATTAGCCTATATTAAGATATTTATGGGCGTGCAGGAATTACCCATCAGGTCGATAGATAAGTGGAACTTAAGTAGGCACCGCTAATGGCAAATTTAAAAGCCTTTAGGAGGAAGTATTAACAGATCGTTGCTTTTAATTAACGCGAATGGATTGAAAACGTGTTCTTGTCATGACGTGACATGAGTAACAGCTGTAAATCTACTTCATTTACCAATAATCCCAGGTTTTTAATTGAAGCGGAATGAAAACCGCAGCTCTGCTGTACAATGATTTACGTACTGCAGTAAGCGCGATCAATGCGCTGTTTTGAATTGGAAGCCATGCGAAGTATCTCAAGCGACGGACTGATCCACCACGTCGGATGCGTCCCGTCCGCTGCGGGTTGAGGGCGACCGCAGAAAGGAAGTGTTCCCTCTGAGATCAAGCTTAGCCAGACCAGATCCTCATCGTGCAAGAGAAGCAGGGAGTACCGGGAGGGTGAAGAGCTGCATGCAACCATTCATCACTGGAAATATTATATACTGCAGCTCGAATGTTACAGTAGCCAGAAGGGGAAAAAATGAATATATTACCCGTTAACAAAAGGGCACGATGACATGTTTATTAATCCACATTTTAACACCTGTAGCAGTGATACCTCAGGGCCAAACTAATTCCTCTATTCTGCTGTATTCCTATAGAACAATCTGCTCCACATGTCACCAAACCTTAAACGTTTTTGTAAAGAAATGTTTTCATACAAATATATCAATCCATCTATGTTCTACCTGCTCTTCCTGGACTGGGCCGGGAAGGGGGGGGGGGAGCCTAGCCCAGCTAACAGTAGAGCATAAGGCTGCTGTACACCCTGGATGAGAAGCTAATCATTTAAATAAATCATGGTGTAAAGGTCACACACTCCAGTTAACTATTCCATTTTAAAGTCTTCTGTATAAGCTGAATAGGGACCATCATTGAGGGTCCTCTCCCTCGGAGGGAGCAGAAACACGGATTGACTGTGGTTTCCCGAGGACTGGATTGGGAACCATTGCACTACGTTGGCCCATCTAGGTGCTGTGAACAAGCTTTCTGTCTCCCCGCCCCCATCTCAGCCTCAGTTCCTGATTGGCTAAAGCCACACCCATTTCCACCAGGTTTAACTTCCCTCATAACAAAATGCTGCATCTGCCCCAGCTCCGCCCCCTGGAGATAGCTGCGAACGGCATAGCGTGTTACCATCTACTGCGAAGCCACAGACACCTGAGAATCGGCACCACGCTGCCAAACAGCGGCCGCGTGATAATCCACGAGGATGGCCAACAGGACACAGCCAGCAGCTGCTAATTGCTCCAAACGAGGGGGGGCGGGATCGCCTCCCCTGGCGGAGCTTAAAGCCGCAGGCAGGAGGTTACAGGGTAGGGGGGTGACTGCTGAGCGCCCTGCCTGTGGTTTCTCTCGCTCAGGCAGCCCAAAAAGGCCACACTGCCTCCCTCGCTGCCCAGCCACCAACTGTGAAGCCAGGGCCAGCCAGCCTCCACACTCCAGCAACCCGCAGCCAGGGGCCCCAGAAGGATATGGATACCCAGGCAGATTCAGGGGGCCCAGCATTTCACAGGGGCCCTAGAATTTGTACAATTATATGTAAAATTGAGTGAAGGGCCTAGACCTTACCATCAATATACAGCAGCAGTAGGGTCCAGCCACAGATAGCGAAAAGATGCTAAATGACAAAGCATACCTGGCTTTATTTGTTCAGCTGTTTCTTCCATGCTGTTACTAACAAAATAAGCCGCCTTACAGGGCAGAGAACGTCACTAGTGACTCCGTCACTTTAAAAAGGACAGGAAAGTAGTATTATTGTTATTAATGAAGGAGCACTTCAAAGTTTCTGAGATGCAAAGGTCAAATCTGGAGCGGGTTTTTTCACAGCTTTATTGCACCTCAGGTCAGAAGTGAGACTTGACGCAGGCAGGAGCTGGCTGAGGACCACTGGGTTCTCTATTCAACAAGCGAGGGCTCTGTGCAGGTGTCTTCTGGCCCCGCCTCTTCTGGCCCCACCCCCTTCCTTAAACTCCGCAGGCATTTGTCCAGCCGGCGCATGCACAGCGCCACGTCGCCGTGGGTGATTCCTATCGCAGAGGCGACGTTGAGGTAGGGGCATGGGTAAGACTCTGAGTGGGACATGAAGCCCCTGAAAGTGTGGCCGCCGATCACCTGCTCACCACCCAGCGGGACCACTCTGCAGAATAGACAAGAGCTCACGGTTGGTGCATGACATCCTATGCGGACTGATTCTGGATCAGCAGAACAGCAGCTATGGGAACACATCCCAAGACAGGCTCTATTGTGGTACCACTGAGCAGATCAAAAATAAAATATAAGGTGACCTCAGACACACAAATAAACAATAAGTCATCCTAAACTGACTGACCATAATGGTACAATGTAAACTGATCCTAGATTAGTTTTTAAAGATTAAAAAAAAAGAAACTATCCCAGTGGGAGAGTTTATGAAAAATTAATCTGTTAGGTCTATATTTAAGGCTCATACTGTTATGTTACATAATTGCCTGGTGTGAGAAAAGGCACAGTACTTGCAATTAAAAAAAACCTCAGACAAAATCCATGCAGTAAATAGGTTTAGAAAGAAAAATCTAGCTTTTGCAGAATTAAAAAGTGTGACTTTTGGGCAAAGCCAATGAAGAGTTAAGTGGAGAAGGATTATTTCTGGCAACAGAATCGTGTAGATCTGCTGAGAACTGGCTGCCCCCGAGCCGTGGTCTGCACGGCAAAATGAAGTTCTGCAGCGCTTTTGGAGAGACTGGAGCAGTACCATCAGTACTAATGTAAGTCTGTTTAAAACACAGACGGCCGACAGGCAGGACAGGAGCTGCCCACCTACACTCACCTGGCTCCAGACACCTGTCTGGTGAACATCATGGAGCCCAACTGCGTCACGGCATCCGGGTTCCGCACCTCAAGGCTATCCAGGGACATCGCTGAGGGCCAGAGACAGCGGGTCAGTGGACATGGGGCAGCTCTTACACAGCTTTTCCTAAAACACCGCAGACACACTATGGGGCGAGCCGGCTTGTCGGGGAATAACCCCCCCCCCCCATTTTCGGGCACTTTAATAACCGCAGAAAGAATGCCTTTCACTCCATTATATTCAAGAGAAGGCCGGCATTTCTACGGCTGATATCTCCAAAACTAGGCAACTCCCAGCAGAACAATCTAGATGGATAGATAGCAATAAGGCTCCACTAAAATATATCGTTTGTCAGTTTTGGGGTGAGCTGCCCCTTTAAACCCATTAAATGTAAACACAGGTTACGGAACGGAACATTAATAAGCTGCGTGATCATTACGTAAGAATGCATTTAGCCATTACATCACTGTTTAGTTTCTCAGTGGGTCTCGGGGGGGGGGGGGGGGGGGGGTCAATCAGGGGCTGGAAAGGCAGAGGACAGCAGGTGGGGGGAGAGTGGGATCTGACCATGTTCTCGGGGTTACCTAGGGAGAGTGGGATCTGACCATGTTCTCGGGGTTACCTCGGGAGAGTGGGATCTGACCATGTTCTCGGGGTTACCTAGGGAGAGTGGGATCTGACCATGTTCTCGGGGTTACCTAGGGAGAGTGGGATCTGATCATGTTCTCGGGGTTACCTAGGGAGAGTGGGATCTGACCATGTTCTCGGGGGTTACCTAGGGAGAGTGGGATCTGACCATGTTCTCGGGGTTACCTCGGGAGAGTGGGATCTGACCATGTTCTCGGGGTTACCTAGAGAGATGGGGTTGTGCGTGGTGTTGAGCAGCCTCTCCCCATGACCTTCAGCCAGCTTCCTCACCTCCTTCGCCAGGTGGGTGTACATCTCCTTCAGGCGACGCAGACGTGATGGAAGACAAGGTTCACACACATTGGCATGACATACACCCCCCCTCTGGCTGTCACACCCTCCTCTGTCATCCCTCCTCTTCTAATCTTTCGACAAGAGGAATTAATCTCGGCGCCTCATGCCCGCGAGCGGCATGCAGGTCAGAGCTTGGCTGAAAACCCGATTTCAGGCCGCAGCCCTGGGCGCGCACAGAGGCCAGGCATCCAAACATCATCCAAGGTCGGAATGTTCAGCTGCACGGTCCTGCGTCACCCCAGATCTTTTTAAACTTTTCCTGGAACTTTTTTTCCCCCCTCTCTTCTGTTGCCTCTACTTGTGCATCAAGTGAGCATTTAACATGTAACGGGAGAACGCCATTTTGGGGCGAGGGAGTCGGGTAACCAGGGTGGTTTGCGTCTCTAGCTTTAGCAAAGCCCCCCCCCCAAATGTCCAGTCTCCCACCTCCCTCCCTCTTGCCCCATTTCAGTTCGAAAACCAAAATAAACCAGGCTGCTGTGCTCATCCTGGTATCACATTAGCACTGCGCAGGGCAAACAGACCCATCATATTAAATCTACCTGTAACATTGTAGCTAAATGCTAAGCTCAGAGTTCATGTGTAACCATATTGCAGTTGGCAGCGTACAAAGCAAGTTTAAGGGAATGGTTCAGCTGGGAGTAGGCGGGGCTCTCACACACATGCGGTCATGTGACCTGATCAGAAAGCACTCAGCTTAGGGGAGACGCTTGCCACACCCCCTGCCCCTCTAATCACCTCCACCACTGGAATGTGAGCTCTGTCAGAGTACCAGGATTATAGGTGCATTACAATCCTGGGTGGTTTCTTAGCTGGAAATACCACCAAGCAAGGTACAGGCAAGTTGGAGGCCGTGTGCCTGTGACCGGAAGGTTGCTGGGTTGAGCCTCATCAGAAAAGTCGCATGCCCTTAAGCAAGAAGCTTAACCCCCAGCTACAGGAGCGCACTAACCCTGCACTGTGACCCCCAAGCTTGATCTCACTTGTATACAGCCCTGGAAAAAATTAAGAGACCACTCTAAATTTGAAAAAAATCCACAATCTTAAATCCTGGTTTAATCTTCACATGCTGGCTGAAGGCTACATTGCGCAGCAGGATGCGTCCAGGCTCAAAGTTTCTGAAGTTTCTAAGACAGCAGGACACAAGCTGAAGCAGGAGACTCTGGTAATGACCAGAAACCAGCCAGGTGGAGGGCAGAAGCGACTTCCTAATGCCAGAGAAGCGTCAACTTATGTCAGTGCCTCATAAACTGGAGGATGACCTCAAGTGACCTTCAAAAAGAATGGGAAACATTAAGTGGTGAGAAGTGAACTGCTAGAACAATTCATAGCAGGCTCCCAGAAGCAGGACTGGAGACCCATAAAGTAAAGGAGAAGCCCTTCATCAATGAGAAACAGGGAAGAGCCAGGCTGGAGTTTGCAAAAAAAAGAAATGTACATTTTACACAGGCTCATACGCGTACGTTGAGAAATGAATGGAACTGAAAAATTTCCTGTGGCCTCTTAATTTTTTCCAGAGCTCTATGTGTCTGTGTGTCTCACAGAAGGCAAAATGAGGTAGGCGAGAATAAAATTACAAGAGATTAATAACATACCACGATTGTACTCTGAATTAAACAGCAGAAGCTGTGTGACTGACTGAAGGATGACAATGGCACCTACAGAGTTAACACTGATTGCGCCGTGACTCGTTGCCATGTAACAGAGAGCTACAGAACCCGGCCAATGTTTTCACAGATACGGTGGCCTTAAGATCAGACCGCAATGCCAGTTGCACATGGCCCCTTATGGCAGAAGCTCAGTCAGTGGGATGTGTACATGTTCCTCAACTCCTGCTCCTCCTCAGGTGACCCACAACCCAAACAGTGACGCACCTCAGAGCCGAGGTGTGACTCTGCGCAGCCTGTGTCCACAGTCGGGGGGGGGGGCCGCGGGGCTCACGGCAAACATCAAACCTGGCGTGAGGGTCACAGGTGTGCCGATGGAGGGGTTGGCGTGAAATCCGTCTCCCCCAGAAGGACACAGGGCAGACTCATACAACCGGTTTTCGTGCCTGTTCTGTGATAAGTGGGTGCAAATGTCACACGTTCCCAGAAAGGAGGGACGGCAAGCGCTAAAACGACACCCCCACGTGGGGGTCGCGTCTCGGTTTTCCGGCCGAGAAGCTCGACACGGCCGGGCGGGCCGCGGAGCTAATGCCGAGGCATTTTTCCACCCCCTCTTGGTTAACGAGCGAGCGCCGGGATACAAGGTACCGGAATAGCTCTTTTTCACGTTGGGGGGGTGAATGAAGCCTGAGGGGGGGGGGGCGCAGGGCATCTGCTCGCAGACTGCTCCCCTGGCTGTGGTCCAAGCTCACAGTGGGACGCGGTGTGATGCAGTCTGCACCATTGTCATGTGGTGCGCGGGGCCACACCCCTTCAAAAATCCTACAGCTCCCTACCGCCCCCTACAGTCCACCAGCCAGCTCATACTTCACACAGACCACAGCCTAGAACAGCCCTGCTAGGAATTAATTAATGTTTAACTGAAATCTTCATCTTGATTGACTAAAAATGAGAAATAGTGGCATATTGTGGTATGTAAGGCCCTGGGCTACTGAGCTCAAAACAGACTCTCACATCTACCTTGAAGGCCCGTTTTACTACAGAATTCAATTTTTGGCTCTTGAATTATTCACGGTTGTTAGGTTTTAAGAAGATACGAGGGACTGTCTTATCCCTGCAGATGAGATCATATGTGAACCGTATATGAAATATTAATATAAAAAAAAATTAAATAAATAAATAAAAAATAACATAAAAAAAATCGATGGCCTCTGAAAAAACTGATCGGCTGGGGGTTTCTTCCTGTGTGTATTAACGTTCAGTGCATTCATACATCATCTGAAACGGGGGGAGGGGCTTACCTTCCGTTCCTTCAGCAACTTTTTGTACCCGTTGGCCCCCAGGGTCAGCAGGGTGATGAGCACGTCCAGCGAAGGGGAAGCAGAGGCTCGACCTGGGGGCACAGCGCACTGTCACCCCCTGCTGGGGAAACCAACAATCTGCTCCGAAGACCCAAGCCCTCCACTGCATGACCCGCAGCGAGCATCACTCCTCAGTCTGCCAACGTGGCCTGGGGTAGATGGACCACCCCCCTTAAAGATGTGGTTCCTCCTTAAAGGAGACTCCAGGGAGCCAAGTAATAATGGCAAGCTAATCGAAACAGGTCAAAGCCCCACCCCCCGGCCCAAAAAAAGAAAAGAGCACACACAGCTAATGCAGCTCATTCTGACAGAACTGGGGTGGGGGGTCAGCAGCAGCTCACAGCTAGAAGTGCGAACAACAAAGCAACACAATGGAGACTCCATTCCGTGCGATATGACAGCATTACTGTCTGACCAAAGAGCCGTACATGGGGAAGTGGAGATGGATCTAACACGCTATGTACTGTATATTATACACACAACACAAAATAGCCAAATTAAATCGCCGATACAAAAAAGGCATCAGAAATGAGTAAGAGGTGTGGTATGACTCACTAGAGTAACCAACATACAGTATCTGTGAGCCCCGGGGCACTAAACTGCCAATACAGAAATCACCAGCCTTCAAAGTAGCTCTATTGAGACAAGACTGCACGATCTGCCTGCTCTCTATGAAGAAACATCTAAGCTATCTAGAAACGGAATATCTATACCTCACAGGCCTCTATTGCAGCAAGGGAGAGAGGAAACATCACATTCAGGCACACGAATGCGCAAACGCACACACACACACACACACACACACACACACTGTAGCAAACAAACAATCTGCAGTACAGCCTGCCAGGACTGCAAGAAAGAAAAGCAAAAGGCAAGCATTGTGTAGCCCAGAGTAAATCGCCTGTAAAGCACTATTATTGATGCATATACAAATATCATATAAACATGGCATCAGCACTCAGAGAAACATCCTGAACATACTGAATTATACCTAATGCCATTGCAACTAGCAGTACCTAATAGTAGCATTTATTTAGTAAATTACCTCAATATATTATCTCATACAAGAATGAGATCAACAACTTAATTTATGTTATAGTTGGGCAGCAAAAAATGTTTCTTTTGTGATAAGTGGGAGATAAAATCCTAATAAGGACAATAAGAGTAATCAGGTTATATAGCAGAAGGCCTGTTAGCACAGGCATGTTGCACCCAAACAAATGCAGAGATGCTGGTACCTGCTTACCAGGATACATGCGGCTGATCTCCTGAATGAAGGGCTCGCTGAAGCCAGCGATTATGGCGCCACCTACTGGAACCATGAAGTTTTTGTCGAGACTTTGTACAAATGCGTCTATTCTTCCAGCACGAGCTCCCTGGGGCCATTGTAAAGTAATCATTAAAACAGAAAAAGAGAAATAAGCATGTTAAAACTGCACCTAAAATGACTATACTACCTTTATGCAGATTTATGGTAGCTATGACTAACTACTTAATGCTACTGAAGTTCACTTTGCAAAACCAGGGTATATATTAAGCACGATTGCCAAAGAATATCCAATAAAGTTTAAAGTTAAACCAACACAGGTGCTGAGGCATGAGCAGCACTCACCTGCTGAATAAGGTGCATGCATTTGGAGGACTGTACACCGTACGCGTTGTTCACTATGTGAGGGATGTCGTATTTTGCACACATTACAGATAACTCTTCCAACCTGCAACATTAAAGAGGAAGAATTTGTCTTACTGAATGATTATGATATTTCTGTGGAAATAGACAGTTCTGTAAAAAGAGCAGAGACTTTTTTTTTTTAACCTTATACGTTTATCTTGGGATTTTATAGATGAATGGAGTGTTGTAGTCAGTTGAACAGAACAACAAAGGGGTACTGCAGGGTTCAATTTTAGGACCACAATTGTTCCTAATTTACATGAATGATATTGACACCAAAACATACAGTAAACTGGTTAAATTTGCAGACGACACCAAGGTGGGTGGTGTAGCAGATACTGATTTTAACTGTATTTGACTCTCCCTGCCGGCCCCTGGAGGATGGGCTCCCCCT